TGTGTGTTGTGTGTATGTGTCTATGAAGCGGGGGGTATTTCAGCATCCAGTATTGACATGAACATGTATTTATGTCCTTTCTTGTAGTGTGCAGGCACGCGAGCCCACGAAACCTTGTGAAACACAGCTGTCAAAATAAACGACAACGAGAAATTTCTCCCTGCGAGATAAATAAAGATTGTCATTGCTATTGTTACGTTGTTTGTCTTGCTTTCAGTATCTGCTGCTGATGTTGTAACACAGCTTTATGTTCTGTTTTTGTTTTGCTTGTTTGTTTGTTTTTTATTGTTTGTTTGTTTTTCTTCTTATTTTGCATTATGCGATGTCGCTGCTGTAGAGGCTGCTTTTGCCGTTAACGCTTGGGGGGTTCGGTTTTGTTATAAAAGCAGTTGTTGCTGTTGTTTTTGCCATTGGTTTTGTCGGTTATTTCGTCATTACTGAAGCTTTTGTCGTGATGAGATAAGATAAAACGAGATGAGATGAGATAAGACAAGATGAGATGAGATAACATAAGTTAAGATAGATACGATAAGATACATCTTTATTGTCCTGGCACATTGGTACACTCGTATACATACATACACACACACACACACACACACACACACACACACACACACACACACACACATAATTAATTTCTCTCTCTCTCTCTCTCTCTCTCTCTCTCTCTCTCTCTCTCTCTCTCTCTCTCTCTCTCTCTTTGATGAATGCTGTTACTTTTTAAAAATGTAACTGTGTAGATCTTAGTCTTACGCCTCCGTCGACACGACATAATAAATCATTTAGGAGGCGGGTTGCTTCGACCCTGCTTGTCGGGTGCTGGGAAGGATACTGCATCGTCAAACAGAAAGTCGGTCCGAAAAACTCACCAAGACCCCCCCCTCCCCACCACACACACACACACACATACACCTCAAAGACGTCTATCTAATGTTTCTTGCGTGCGACAGATCAAGCACCTACCTAACTGCTACACCACAAACACCTGTGTTGCTTTTACTGCTGCTGTTGTAGTAGTAGTAGTAGTAGTAGTAGCAGCAGCAGCAGCAGCAGCAGCAGCAGCAGCAGCAGCAGCAGTAGTAGTAGTAGTAGTAGTAGTAGTAGTAGTAGTAGTAGTAGTAGTAGTAGTAGTAGTAGTAGTAGTAGTAGTAGTAGTTGTTGTTGTTGTTGTTGTTGTGCCTGATGTTATAGCTCTTGCTTCTGATGTCGTGCTGACTTTTATTATATTGTTGTTGTTGTTATTGTTGTTGTTGTTGTTGTTGTTGTTAATATTGTGGTTGTTGTTGCTGTCGTTGTTGATCCCGTTTTTGTTGTCGATTGCTTTGCTGTTGTTGCTACTGTTGTGGTTGTTGCTGTTATTACTAATACAAGCGTTGGTATTGCTGCAACTCCTGTCGCTAGTGTTTATCAAGGGTTCTTGTTCATTTCTCTCTTTTTTTTAAAGGGAAAGAAAACAAAGAAACAACAACAACAACAACAACAATAACGAAACACAGATTTGTTTTAGCTTTAGTAAGAGTTTTACCACACTTGCAAAACAATTAGGTCATATCAGTACCAAAGATTAGAGGAGTTACCACAGAGTTAAAAAATACAAGGAAAAGTAGGAGGCGAGAAAAGAACGAACGATTTTTGCAAAGGAAAGAAGGAGCAACCCCCTAACCAGAGCATTCGCTATCCACCTTTTTAAGCGAAAGGGAACAAAAACAAGATTAGCAGCAACAACAACAACAACAACAACAACAACAACAACAACAACAATAACAGCAGCAACGACAGCTGCAACAAAAAGAAATATAAAGAGGAACACAACGGTGTCAGCGATAATAATAGAAATTACTAATAATGCTCACAAAAATAACATGATTATTTCAACATCTTGACACTCACCAGAGGAATAGGAGGGCAAATCCAAACGTTCGACGCACGGTCCTATCCTCATCTAATATGACAAAACGAAGATCTTTGAGGTTTTCATTCCTTTTTCAAGCCCTTTAACGCCCTGCGGGAAGAAAAAACCAACACCATTATTTAAGTAATTTTATTGGAGGAGTAAAACGGAGAATAAAATGAAATAGGATCACAAAACAGGAACCACAGACGAAGACGATATGAAATCCCACAGTTGGTAACAAAAGAACGCTGCTAAATAAAGAAATAGACGCCCCCCAGGTCATATTAAGACGACACCTGTCGCATGTGAACATGAGATTGGCACCTGATGGACAAATAGGTGGCTTAGTCAAAGAAACCCGTACAACTCGTTTTGTTTTTAAAAAAATGTTAAAACAACAACAACAACAACAATGACAGAGACTCAATGAAGGGAACAGGCGGCTGAAATATATAACTTTGTTATTTGTAGGGATTATACATTCAAACTTTCCTAAATTACTTATTAGCATAGCAAGGACAAGATTAATACATGCATGTTTTAAAATATTGTGTTAGAACAACAACAACAACAACAACAACAACAACAACAACAACAACAACAACAACAACAACAACAAAAGAGACTCAATTAATATTAAATTACTTCTTCAAGCCTTCCTAGCCACGTGAGACAGAGGTTGCATTTCTTTTTTTAGTTTAAGTAGAGGTTTTACGGCGCTCGCAACAGCATAAGGTCATATATAAGCGCAAGAAGATTAGAGGTGTTACAAGAGAGTAACAAACCTAAAAAAGAAGAAGGGGAGATTAGGACGATAGATGTTTGGTAGGAAAGAAGAAGCAAACCACACCAGAGCACCCGCCAACCACCCACTTGCATCTCTGTCAAGAGCTGTTTGTCCGAAATGCTCAAAATGTGGCAAACTGTTCTCTGCCAGGACTGATTGGTCTCACTGGCCACAGTAAAAGCAACAAGTCATCTGAATCCTCAATCATTTTTTCTACTTCGCTTAATTAAAGAAATATCCTTTGCAGGGGTACTGGTCTTCGTCAGCCACTGACGGATGAATGATTACTATTATTATTATTAAGATTATTATGATTATTATTATGATTATTATGATTATTATTATGATTATTATTATGATTATTAAGATTATTATTATTATTATATTTATTATTCTTATTCTTATTATTGTTGTTTGTAACAGAGGTAGCAAAAATAACTGTACATTATATTCCTTGAAAAGGCGGCTGTAGAGACCCTGTGGTTGGAGAACTTTGGAAAATAAATACGGCCAGCAATGTCGGTGCAACCTTGAGCAAGACACGATAATAACACCACGCTAAAAAAAAATGCCGCTTTGCAGTGGCATAAAACTTAACGCTGGCGTGTACGCAAAAGGTATCTGAAGTGGTCATGTAGCGTATACAACAACTTTCCGACGGCGATAAAAAAAAAGTGGCACTCCATGCACGACCATAATAATAATAGTTATAATAATAATGATAATAATAATAATAATAATAATAATAATAATAATAATAATAATAATAATAATAATAATAATAATAATAATAATGGTAATTATAATAACAATAATGATGGTAATAATAATAATAAAAATAATTTAAAAAAATAATGGTAACAATAATAATAATAACAATAATAATAGTAATAGTAATAACAAAAATAATAAATGGCACTTATATATATATAACGCTCAATTCCGATTAAACTACACAGGTTCTGGGAGCTCCACAGTAATACAATAACATATTATTGTGTTCTGGATTTACATGTGTACTTATAATTTATAAATCAATCTTATTCATCCTTCACCGCTGCTTGAAAAACAAACAAAACCCCAAAAACGATTTCTGAGACTTGCGTGCTTCTTGAAATCGGACCGTCGAATCGAAATATGAACCACCTCCGAGCCAGACGAAACCGGAGATATCAGTAAGATCTGCGCATTCATTCATCGACTACAGCACTATGTGTTGGAGCTACATATCACCACGAGCATTTTCCCGCGTCAACCCTCTTAACGAGAAGGGGCTACACTTGAAGGCTATCTCGCTTATTAATAATAATATTAGTGGATCAGATATTTACCAAATTTCACACATCTGGTATAACAAGCATAGTAAGGAGTCTTAAAATCCGCGATCAAATTTGAGAAAAAAACAATTTCGTTGTCATGGATGCGGCGGCTCCAGACACCACCACCACCACCACCACCACCAAAAATCTATTCCATCGCAATACATCAAAAATTAAACAGACACATTTTTAGTGGTACATCTTCTCTTCATTCTGCGAAAATTTAATGAAGATTGGATGAAAAATGGTGGCGTTATTTAAAATAGTATGTAGAAAAACCTGGTATTGAGAAAACCTGCGATAAATAAAAATAAAAGATTGACTTTATGAAGAAATATTGGTGACTAACATGACAGGTATGTGAAAAAAACCAAGCTTTAGGGGGTTCTTATGCGTGAAATAGTTGTAAGAGAAGCTGAAGAAGCTAAAAATGCATACAACTCAAAATCAATAATTTTGAGCCGAATCTGGACTTTCAGGGAGTAGCCCCCCCCCCCCCCCCCC